CAGCAATTTCTGTTTCTGTCAGTCACAAACATTGTCCCCTTTGCTACTGAGCATGGAATACAGCCGTTTTGTTCAACGTTAATTGTCTCAATTCCTCACTTCTCGTGCTGTTTAAGAACAGGATGAAAAGGATTGTGTAAAGTAGCAGCTAGTTCCAGCAACCAGCCAATTCCGAAGGAATGCAGTTCTGGATGCAATGACCTCACAAGTGACTTCCCCTGACATTTTTGTGCACAGGGAATCATTACAGGAATAGCATCTAAAACAAAACAACCAGCGTTTTCAGTGAATGGGTTTGGAACCAGGGGTTGGAAATAATCTCCCAGCTGTAACTTGGTGTTTTGAGTTTGGGCAGAAAACAATAACTTGCAGGATGATCGCTCTATCTGCTACGCTGGTGGGAAACTGGCAAGCTGAACAGCTCGTCAAGGAAATGCAACAACTGGGAAGTGGAACTTACAAAGCCCGCTTGCTGCCCAAGTCCTGCTGCGTGCGTCTGTCTAAAGGAGACAGACGGGAGGTTGTTCGGCCCCTCAAACTGAATGTCCCGCCATTCCATCAGATCCTGAACGCCAGCTGCCTCAGCTGCATAGTCCTCAGGCACCATACCAGGCAGAAACTCATTCAGCTGGGCTGGGAAATTCACTCTACCCTCTGTCTCCCTGGGGGAGGGGAGGGACCCACACTCCCAGCTGCCTGTTGTTGGACAGAGAGAAGGAATTGGAAGCATTTTGGATTGCGACATTGAAGTAATTGCTGAATGGAACTGAAAGCTTGTTGCACAGCCCAAGTTAAGGCACATCTATCCATTAATGAGGCTTCAAAGACATCAATAAACATGAACTGTCTCTTATTGGCAAGCAGCTAGACAGGGGGCATATATAAACTCAACGTACAGTTGCTGGTCAATTCTCTGAGCCTCAGGACAAGCTGCTGACTCTCATATAGCTTTCCCACCTCCTCTACAACTACAGCCATCATACAGAGTGTTGGCCTTGAAGGTTTATCAATACTGATACTTGGCCAACAGGGAATTCAGATATACATTCAGAAGGATCCCCAGACAGCACCTTCCAAACCCTCAACTACTTCCATCCGGAAGGACAAGGGCAGCAGATACATGGGAACACCACCCCTACCAGTTCCCCTCCAAGCTCCTCACCATCCTGACTTGGAAATATATCGCTGTTCCTTCACTGTCGTTGAGTCAGAATCTTGGAACCCTCCCTCCCTGACATCATTGCAGGTCTACCTACAGTATGTAGACTGCAGCGGTTCAAGAAGGCAGCTCACCCCCACCTTCTCAAGGGCAATTGAGGATGGGGAATAAATACTGGTCCAGCCAGTGACGCTCGCATCCCAAAAGACGCTCTAAATAAATTTACCCCAATGCAGTATTGTCATTGGTTGCAATGCAGCATTACATTTCCGGGAGGGAATGCCAAGGGAACCAGGAGGAAGAAAATCCTTAATATCAGTATTCACAATAGAACGATTGAATCTCAAACTATGCTTAATGCATGTACTTCAAGGTTTGGAGAATTCCTGAGATGCTGGGCCTGTATTAAATTCAAGAAGGACCTTCTTTGAAAGATGACTCTCCAAGTGAGTGAGTGAGTAAGTAATGAAAAGAACAGGGTGGCAAGCAATGGATCATCCCTGGGGGTCAGTACAAACTGCTGTCCAAGGAGAAACCACCATCTTTGGATATCGTGAAGGTCCTGACTGAAACGATGAGGTCCCAATGAGTAAACAGGATAACGGGAGCTCAGGGGAGACTCCTACTCCAATCTTGGTGTTCTCTCTCAGGCCAACATTCCCACCATCAAACTCGCTGGTCCTGATCAATGAGCTGCATTGGGGTGGACCACATGGCCCTGACACATACCTCTCACAACAAACTCTCTCTCTCTCTCCCTTCTCTCTGAGCTTTGTCACGGTGAATGGTGAGAAGGTGGGGCAGAGGTGAGCTTCAAGGATGTTCTCAAAGCACCCCCCTCCACCGAACAAATGCAGTGTTGCCACTGTGGCAGCGATGGGAATCTCTGCCCAAGGATGGCCAAACTAGAGAAGGAGAGTGTTCGGAATGCCTACAACTGGTCCAGTGGGGAGACCACATGACAACATCAGGAGGAGCCAGTATCCAACGTGTGGACAGGATCCGGAATTGGGACTGTCGAGTGGAGCTGAGGGAACGCAAGTCATCCTTGATCCTTGATCCAGACAAGAAGGGGTAAAGGACAGTGGTAAAGGAATTCAAGAATACAACAAGAGAATGTGGCTAGACATCCTCTTGGGGGGGGAAGAGGGGGGCAGGAGGTGACAATCCACAAGACTTGAGGAATCATCTTCAAACGAGATCCAGGTCATCCCGGAGTGACATCAGGATGCGCCGCTCCTGAAAATCTGAAACCTGCTCGCCTCTGTAAGGCGGATTCTTTCAGCATGAGGTGGATGGGGTTTTGCTGGGCTGGCACAGATTCCAGAACGTGCTGGGACATTACAAGCTGCGATGTTCTGATATCCAACACAGCAAGTGCCTGGCCTTCAGGCACTGTCCTGTTGGAATGGAGTCAGCGCAGTAGGTCAGCTGTTCGTATCATGTACAATCTAATCAGTACATACTGGAGCCAGACTACTGGTTTCAGTGCCTGGTCTTTAAACCTTGAAAATGTAGTTCATGCTGTAAATACACTGAAAGATACGTTACTCAACAAAAGGCTTGTCCCACTAATGACTACAGAACGTAGTCAAGGCCAACAGTCTGAGGGGGTGTGATGACCAACCATGCAGGAAGGATGAGCACCAGCACTGCCCTGTTTCTGTGACACACTGGGTCATTCTGTCATAGCTGTTCGCCTTTCTAAATCTGCATCGAAATCTCCAACTGCATTCTCAGCAAAAAAGAAACCAGTCACTCTCTCACAATCGTTTCCAACCCAGTGCACAAACTGTTGCCTCTGAGTTGAACTCAGCACGTTTCCCTTCAATATTACAGTCATACAACATTAAAACAGGCCCTTCAGCCCACCATGTCTATGATGACCGACAAACACTAAGGTACACTAATCCCATTTACTCGCACTTGGTCCATAGCCGACTGTGCCCTGGCATTTTAAGTGCTTGTCCAGATGCTTCTTCAATGTTATGAGTGTGCCCGCCTCCAGCACCCTCTCAGGGAACATATTGTTTTCCCTCAAAACAGAGCAGGCTGAGGGGGGGATCTGATTGGGATACACAAAATTATAAGAGGCACAGGCAGAGTTGATCATGAGAATCTTTTCCCCATGATGGACATGTCTTACACCACGGGACATACGTTTAAGATAAGGAGTGAGTGGTTTAGAGGGGATTTGAGGCATACCATCCCAGCTGAAATCCCTGGCTGTAATTCCTTCTGTGAATACAGAGAAATATTCATTTATGATCTCACCCACATCCTCTGGCTCCGTGCACAGGTTAACCCCTTTGATCTCAGATAGATCCACCCTTTCCCTGATAATCCTCTTGCTCTCTACATAGTTCTAAAATGCCTTGGGGTTTTCCTTGATCCTCCCTGCCAAAGATATTTCATGGCCCCTCTTTGCCCTCCTAATTTCCTTTTTAAGCAACCTCCTCCATTCTCTACAGTTTGAAGGGTCTCCCTTGTTTAAAACGCACTGTACCTGCCATGTGCTTCCTTCTCTCTCTTTACCAGGGTTCCCTGGACTTGCTGCCCCACTCTCAGAGGAACATGCTGGCTCCGAACTCTCACTACAGTGCTTTTAACACACTCCCACTTTCCTCATATAGATTTACTTGCAAGGATCTGCTCCCAGCCTATGTTTGTCAGATCCTGCCTAATGTGACTGAAATTGGTCTTCCCCCATTTTAGAGGTTTAACTTCTGCACTAACCCTATCCCTTTCCACAAGTACATTGAAACTTACAATTATGATCACTGTCCCTCAAATGCTTGCTCACTGATACTTCAATGACTTGACCAGGTTCATTCCCTAGGATTAGACGTAGCACTGTCCATCTCCAGTAGAACTGTCTATGTACTGGTGTAAAAAACCCTCCTGGATGTACCTGAAAACTTTCACCCCATCTAATCCTTTCCCACTGCTGCGATCCCAGTTAGTGTTCCCAAAGTTGAAATCCCCAACTATTATAACGCTATTCCTCTAACACCTCTCCGTGATTTGCCTCCATTTCTGCCTCTCTATCTCCCTCTGACTGCTGGGAGGCCTGAAGTATAATCGCATCAAAGTGATCACCCTTTTTTTTATTTCTAAACTCTATACCTAGATGGCTGCATTTGAAGACCCTTCTGAGACATCCTCCCTCATTATTGCAGTGACGATCATCTTTATCAATAATGCAACGTTCCCCCCCTACCCTCTCTGTCGTGCCTGAAACTTCCAAAAACTGGAATGCTGAGCTGACAAACGACAGTGACAACGTGGTCACCATTCGGTGAGCTTTCAAATCCAGACTGTGTTTTTCTTTTAATTTCACCCTTACCCGTGGTGAATATTGACTGGCTTCGTGAACTGAAACCTAGAACCTGTCATTGGTACAGCCTGGAACCCGTCACTGGTACAGCCTGGTACCCATCACTGGTACAGCCTGGAACCCGTCACTGGTACAGCCTGGAACCCGTCACTGGTACAGCCTGGTACATCACTGGTACAGCCTGGAACCCATCACTGGCACAGCCTGGAACCCATCACTGGCTCTTTGGAACCTTGGCAGTGGAAGTGGGCAACCAGACTTGAGCATTCGGGTTCCAGAAGCCTTGCTTATTGACTGGTCCGCTGGCTCACCTTTGCAACGCACCCGAGACACAGTGGCAGCCCTCCCTGGGTGGCTGAAGAATCGAGGTGGATCCCCTGGCGATCCGGGAGCTATTAAGACCACGCTTCACACAGACGAATGAACGTACATTAAGATCCCTGCACAGAAGCTCGTCACCAACCCTACCAAGCCATCGCACATCCCAGCGAGGCCTGGACTCACCTCAATATTGTTGTCGAGGGTGTTGACGAACCTGAAGCCAGGCACCCTCTGCTCGCTGCACACTACTCCGGCGTCCTCTGTGTGCTTGCAATCGGTGACGCCCCAGCCGTTCGAATCGCAAGCCGCCAGGCTCTTCTCACTGCCAGTGCATCGCACATTATCGATCCAGATCCTGCCTGCAGCCAACGTGGAGAACAGTGTCAGCCCGGTTACTCTGCTGCAGAAGGGGGCCCATGAAACTCAAACAACAAGGCCCCAAACTCAGCCGCGTCTAAAGTTTCAATCTCACCGCACCGCAGGCTACAACAAAGCTCAGCAACCAGCCTGTAGGAAGCTCTCAGCGTCCTCCTTGCATCATTAGATGCGCGCATGCAGATCCATTTGCAGGATCGTCGTGGACCAAACAAAGTCCAGAAACGATCGATAGGAAGCCTGCTGCTTGGCTGATGGAACAATTGCACGGCTCCAGATGCTGTTTGCAGCTCTGGCAGCGCAGCCTCAGATCTGACAAATCTGAGCCTCAGAAATTCCGCCCGGGAGCTCCGAGTGACACAGCAGTGGAAAGGTTCGTTCAGTTCCTCTCTCTGAAGATGCTGCACAGATCTGCCAAGGTTCTCCAGCGCTCGCTGTCATCTCTTCCAGATGCGGTCAACCCAGGACAACAGACGCAGTGGATCTGAGGGCGAACTCATTGCTGGGAGTACATACATCCTGCTCCTTTGCAGGCCACTAAGCTGGTGTCTTCCAACTGGATTCACTGCTCTTGTGGGAGTTGTGTTTTTTTTTGCAGCGAGGCCCTGAGGAATAGCGTAGAATGCACTTGCACTGCCATGACAGTTGTTGGCAGGGGAAATCCTTTCTCAGGGAAAGGGGAAGGCATCCCTGGAGAGGGGAGAGGGGAGAGGGGGAACATGGCAGGGTGCTTACTAAGACATCTGTCTTCCTTCCTTTTGGCTGGAATCTGGTCTCAGGAGAAGGGGCTGATGTTGGAGGGCAGTCTCGGAGAAGGGGAGAGAGAGATGTGGAAATCTCACACCACCCCCTCCCCCACAAAACGGAGGATGCGCTCAGTTTGCTGGAGGCTGTGACAGAGAGGAGCTGGGAACCTCGGAGGCTCTGCAGTGGGTATGGGCGAGCTCAGCCCTGTGCTCACCGAACGATAGCAGGAGGTTGGAGGAGGTGAATGGCCATTCTCTCACCTCCTGTTTCTCAGGCTCGCCTGAAATAAAACCTAGGGATGTTTGTTGCTCTGCCCGATGTCAAGGAGTACAAAATCTTGCTGCAAAACTAACATTATGACAGGCCCAGAAAACATGGAAAATCAGAGGAGCGGGAGTAGGCCATTCAGCCCTTCATGATCATCATGGCTGATCATCCAACTTAGTACCCTGTTCCTGCTATTCCCCTCCATATCCTTCAGTCCCTTTAGCCCCATGTGCTATATCCCGTTCCTTAGAGTCATCCAGCATGGAAATAGACCCACTTTGATCCAACTCATCCTCACCAACTAGACATCCCAATCGGACCTTGTCTCATTTGGCCAATATCCCTCTAAACCCTTCCTATTCACATACCCATCCAGATGCCTTTTAAATGTTGTCATTGTACCACTTCCTCTGGCAGCTCATTCCATACACGCACCACCCTCTGCGAAAAAGTTGCCCCTCAGGTCCGTTTTAAATCTTTCCCCTCTCACCTTAAACCGATGCCCTCTCATTTTGGACTCCCCTACCCTGGGGAAAAGGCTATTCACCCTATCCATGCCCCTCATGATTTTATAAACTTCTGTCAGGTCACCCCTCACTCTCACGTTCCATGGAAGAAAAGTCCCAGCCCATCCAGCCTCTCCCTAGAACTCAAACCCTCCAACCCCAGCAACATCCTTGTAAATCTCTCCTGCACCCTCTCAAGTTGAATAACATCTTTCCTTTAGAAGGGTGGCCAGAATTGCTTCTTGAAAACATTCAACTGCTTTCTGTGGCAGAGAATTTCACAGGCTCCCCTCCTCTCTGGGTGAAGGTATTTCTCCTCCTCCCAGTCTTCAATGGCCCTCAGGCCGTGACCCCCATTGTTTCTTGAATTGGGCCAAGAGCAAAGATCTTGGCCCGCATCTGAATGCCCCCCTGCGTGGCTCCCCCAGGCCTTCCCAACTGCTGTTTCAAGAGGGCCACAGGAGCGGGCAAGATCCAATTACCTTTGCCTCTGCCATACTTGGCGCCAGGGACCCAGTTTTCTGCATGGAGGAAGCCGAGTTCCTTACAGATGACGTTGGCTGTGGCGATGGAGAAGTCGTCATCGCAGATGGTGCCCCACTCGCCGTCATAGTAGACCTCAACCCGCCCCTCATTGCCCTTCTTCCTCCGGCCGGCCAATCGGAGCTGAATCCTGGGGACCTGCTGCCCTTGGACCTCGGCCATGCAGTGTAGTTCCAAGACCCAGCGGACTAACACCAGGGCCAAGCAATGGCGGAAAACACAAAGGATGCCACTCATCCTCTGCCACTTGTGCCAACCACAGAGCAAACCTTGGCTGTACTCTCCAATCCTGAGAAGGCTCCTGCAAAAAAAAGAGGGAAGCACAAATAAAGGTGAAAACTTGGGAGGGGGGGAATTAAAAAAAAACACGCTTGCTTCCACAGGCATGTTCTGCAGAAGAGATTTCTCATCTTGGGTTGACATCCAACTGAACGCAGCAGCTGTCTGCTCTCAGTTCAGGTAGACAGGACATCCCCTGTCTCTCAGCAGTTTGTTTGACACTGGCAGGCAGTAAAATGTGCAAGGTGTCTGTGCTGTCCATTTCCAATATCTTCAGGCGGGAGAGGGCACACACTCAACACAGAGCACTGAGCATTTCCATCTGACTGACCCAGTGTCAAACAGGGGCCACACTGTCTCAATGAGATGGACCACAGGCTCGAGATCATTGACCCCGTGTCAACAGGAGAGAGACAGACACGCACACACAGACTGGTGGCCTTGCCTGCAGGCTGCGAAAGATAAACACTGTGGGAGAGAGAGGAAGGGGGCAGATGGACGGATGCAGGGGAGTGGGGAGAGGGAGGGAGGGACGAGGGGAGGAACAGAAATAGATCCCCTCAGGTTGGTGAAGGGATTTGGAAGCAGTTTCATTGAAACGAGGAGACAATGTCTTTTCAAAACTAACGTTCCACGTTCCTGAGCCCGACCCTGAGCAATGAGCATTTGAGGAGATATTTCTGAAACAGAAAGATCCCCAATACAGAGCTTCCTGAGACTCGATTCAGATTATTGCTTCCCACTGCAGCCAAACAACCCTGGAGGCCCTCATGAAATATCCCCACCCACCACCCCCACTGATGTTTAAGATGTTTAAGTGGAGGGGGGGCAGAGAGAGAGAGAGAGACAGACAGACAGACAGTCAGACAGAGAGAGACACAGACAGAAAGACACAGAGACAGAGAGTGCAGGCAGACAGCGAGAGAGAGAGAGAGAGAGAGAGAGAGAGAGAAGGTGGACAGAGAGAGAGGGCAGGCAGACAGAGACAGCACAGATATAGAGAGAGCAGATGGAGAAAGAGCAGACAGAGAGACAGAGAGGGCAGGCAGGGAGAGAGCAGGCAGGGAGAAACAGCACAGAGAGAGAGAGAGAACACACAGAGACAGAGCACAGAGAAAGAGAGAGAGCACACAGACAGAGAGAGCACCGAGAGCATAGAGCAAGAGCACAAAGCGAGAGTGAGGGAGAGAGCACAGAGAGAAAGAGAGAGCAGAGAGAGAGAGAGAGAGCACACAGAGAGAGAGAGATCAGACAGAGAGAGAGAGAACAGAGAGAGAGAGAACAGACAGAGAGAGAGAACAGACAGAGAGAGAGCACACAGAGAAAGAGAGAGAGAGCACAGAGAGAGAGCACACGGAAAGCAAGAGAGCGCACAGAAAGCGAGAGAGCACACAGAAAACGAGAGAGCAGAGATAGGGAGCACAGAGAGAGAGAGAGCACAGAGAGAGACAGCACAGAAGCCAAGAGAGACAGAGACAGAGAGAGAGCACACAGAGGGAGAGAGCACAGTGAAAGCGAGAGAGCACACAGAGAGAGAGAGCGAGAGCACAGAGACAGAGAGAAGAGCACAGAGAGAGAGAGAGCCCAGACAGAGAGAGAGAGAGCACAGAGAGAGAGAATGAGAGATCAGGCTGAGAGAGATAGTAGGCTGAGAGAGGAATCAAACAAAGGAGAAAGAGAGAGAGCAGACAGAGAAAGAGCAGAGACAGGGAGAGGGCAGACAGCGAGAGAGGGCAGACAGCGAGAGAGGGCAGACACGTTGGGTAGGAGAAACACAGCACAGTGGAATAAAGCAGGATAACGGTGAATGGTGACAGGGTTGTCGGATACACTGCAAATAATCCCAGCAACCAGCTTCAGACCAATGTTCGAAAATGGAGAGCAGCTCAGAGCCACACAGCAAACCAAAACCCTGCCTGCTGCTGAGAAATGACCTTCTCTTTCTGTTGACACAGTCCCAGCTGTTACCGCCGATGCTGAAGCCTGAGGAGGAGATTCAGAAGCACAGGCCCCCCCCGCTCACATTCACCTGGAGTAGGGCTTTATTCATCGATGTCTGGAATCCGGAACTCACTGCCTGTCAGTGTGTTCAAGGTAGAAAGCCTCATTACATGGAAGAAGGATTGAGAATGATCACATACCACGCCAGGACAGACATGGCTATGGACCATGTGCTGGGAAGTAGACTTGTCAGCTGGCACGTACATGATGTTCCGAAGGCACTTCTTCTGTGATGTAGACCTCCCAGACTCAATGACACCATTCCACTGATCATGGCCCCAGTCAGGTACAAGGGGCTCGAGGAGTGGGAGCTGACTTTGAGAGCACCTTCAGGGTGTCCCGAAGCGCTTGATAACAATCTTTGGTGTTGTTCAGCTAACGTGCAATATCTACAGATGTCACCAAGGTCAGGCAAACACAGGCTACGTTGGAACACATCTTACTGCGGGCCACATCTTACACCAGATCACACAACAGACAGCTGGTACGTCACAAATTTCAACCTAACCCCTTAGACGTCACCGATGAAGCCTTCCTGGAAGGTGCAGTCTCTCTGTCGGACCTGGTATAAATGTGGCTTTGTTCCAGCAAAGCTCACGTCTCCTGCCCTCAGCACACTCTGTAAATGTTCCACACTGTTTACAACACTCTTGGCATTCTTCAGCTGATGTGGAAAGTCAGAGACTTGGACAGAAAGGCCAAGGCTAATTCTCCAAAGGCGTAGACAGTCAGGTGACATCAGCTGTGTCATGGAGATCACACGACCCTGGAGAAAGTCTCATGGTAAACCCCCAAAAGTTAGCACAAAGTTCAATTGAACGGTAAGCATACCAACAGCCTGGACTCGAGCACTCTATTTATTCTCACCCAGGACCTTGTAGACTCACCACCACTCTTCCCATGTCAGACGCACTTTTTCCTTTGGCGCTTCTTGTTGTTTCCCAACGTTTCCGTTTTCTTTTCTTCGGGCCTGGAGATTGGCGGGTGAGGGAGCAGGCATCTGGCAGCGGTGGCAGCAACAAGGGGATGAGCCGGACACGGCTTCACCCCAGGCCAGTTAGCAAGGAACGGGTCCCGGGGCCCGGGGCCCAGGCTGGGCCAACGCTCCCAGTCCCTGGTTGGGTCCGACCGCCCGAAGGTGGAGGAGAGAAGGTGGGTGGTCTCAGCACAGCATGGAGCCCTTGCCCTGGCATGGAGATCTTCTTCGTCTTCGGCTTCCTGCGGCATGGCTGGTGGTGTCAGCCTGGCTCGCATGGTGATCCTCTTCGGAGGAGCTTCTGTCCCAGGTTTCTAGCAGCCGGGCCTGGCGATCTCATCCTGGAATGGTGATCTCCTCCCAGCTCAGCCTTCAGGGTTATTCCATCATTCCTTAATAATCTTTCCCTGAACCCAGGAGCCTGATTTAATTTTAGTTTTGTTGACCATTATGTCCGACTCCTATAATTGATGCAGGCGCCTCAGCGGGATGACTTATACAACTTCTCACTGCATTTCTTACGTTAAAAGTACGATCTGATAATAAATTTCTGTTCTATTCCATTCCAGTTGGCCCATAGCATGCTCTCACAGGCAGCAATGGGTCTCAGCGAGGCCTGTTGTGGGATAAAGGTTGGGTCAGGAAACCAGCCACAACTGCCTTCCTGTCCCAAACCAGACACCTCAAGGGATCTTCTCCATCCACCAAACAAGACTTTGGCTTGACACCACAAAGACTGCATCGCTGACAATTCAGCACCTCCCTCAGTACCGCTACCGATGACAACGTGCGCTGAGTTTCTGGATTTAGCTTAGAACC